ATCCCTACAAAGATCTGGGAGTTCTCACATACTTTAAAGCTACTGACAAAAAAGTTCTGACAAAATCCACATTGAAAACCAAGTAGTCTAAAAGATAATTTGCATTTCACTGCAAGAAACAAAAATAGAGCAGGTTATTTTAGGGAATTACTAATTTGAAATTACTGAATTCTGACAAAATCAACACTGAAAAATAAGTGGCCTAAAAGATAATTTCATTAGAAAAGAGAAAAAAGGTTATCTAAGGAAATTACTATTTTGGAACAATTTCACCAAATTCAATCAAATAACAGTTAACTAGCTTTCAGGCACAATACAGTTGTAACAGAAACCATGGTAGGGTTGTCCCATGCCATTGACATCACACAGTGGGGAATGAAGGGCTGTATTGTGAAGGAAAAAATTGCAAGACTGGAGCTTACATCAGCATTGTTGTAATTATTCTACATCCATATGAAACACATAAGCAGCTAAGCCCTCATCATTAAAATGCCGCACCACAGCTGGCAACCTTAGCAGAGAGATCAAAAACTGGTGTACCTAAGTATTTACTCTCTGGTAGGACACAGTGTGAAAAGCCCTTTTAAATAGACACTGTCCTTAAATGATCTGTATGCCTTAAGTGCAAGACTGCAAAAATGCAAATTGCACTGCCCCAAATTCTTGGGGATTTACTCTGCTATTTCTTTGAACTGACAGACAGATCATTTCAGGATCTAAAAGTCTTTAGGACAGATCACTAAAAGCCAAGAAAGAAAAGTCCCAGGCAGCATCTTACCACCACCACCTGCAACCACTGTGTAGAACAAGGGTAGGGGGGTCGCTGTGGGCCACAGGAGAAGTGGTGCCTGACAGGAGGGCTGAGCACCCCCTGCCACTTCTCCTACCAGATGGAGCGTTAATTTGGGTTTCCCCGCTGCTGCTCAGAGACCTGATTGCATGGAAACTTAAACTCTATCAAACCTTGGCTAACATTCAAAAGCCATTAGCAGAAAATGATAAGCAGACACCGTCAGTACAGAAGCCTCAATTTATTAGGGAATAACGCTTTAGAAAGGGCTGTACATAAGAATCTTTTTTATCCAACGCCACATTTAAAGAAAAAACCCTGCCCTAAAGGAACACCCAGATGTCTTTCATTCTTTTCACTGACTACTTCTTCCTAATATCTTTCTCTCAGTGTAATGTGGCCCCAGAAGTCCAGCCTGCCCTACTTTGTAAAGTGTGGTGGTACCACACTCATGAATGATTTCCAGGGGCTAAGAGAGAACAAATTTCTCCATACCCATGAGGAGATATGCCTGCAAGACCGTAGAAGGAGGGTCTGCTTGGATTCCTACTCCCCTCCCTTGCATTGGGGCAAGGGGAGACTTTGTAGCAGTCTTTGAGGAGTATGATGGCCACAGCCAGGTTCTGGCTCGATGAGAATGAATTATCTGTTTGCTGCTGTTAAGGCAGGATTTTGGACAATCTAGTTCTGTTTTCCCTTTTTCCTCCAAGATTGGTGCCTGCATTATTCATCAAAGACCACACTACCTCTGAGCTTCTAACTTTTGATTGCACTATACAGCCCTCAAATTACTGTCAAGGATAAAATCTGATGTGCAGAGCCAGAACTTGCACCTGGTCACTATTCTGCTGTGCTGTCTTACCCCTATTTAAGTCATCTCTCACCCCAACAGTAAAAAGCCGACATGCCCGATGCCTTCCTGTCTGGCTGTCAGGGTTATTAGTTTGATAGTGGGGTGGGAATGGGATCCTTTCATTTGTGTTATACGCCAGCAGTCTTCTGCAAAAGGAATGCAGAAAAATAGTACTCATCTTAAATCACTAGGCAACATTGCATAAAGTCAAGAATATATCCTGGATAAATAAAAAATTAAGCTGCAAGTACTTGAATATCAGTCATCAGTAGAGATCAAAAATGGACAATTATCAAACAATATCTCAATTTGATTTCACAAAATCAAATAAAAAAATAGAGCATTTTATGAATCTAACTTTTTACAGAGCTGTGCATGTGCTGAACTTTATTCACAAGAATAGTATCACTGATGTGAATGGGACTGTCCAGCTAAGTACACACAGATGTCTTCCCAAATCCTTGTCAGACACATTCTTTAGGGCACTGCTACTGCATGCTGACTTCCAAATGACAGTCACTGCACAACTTGTTGAAAAAAGATATATCTAGTTATAGAACCTGACATTTCAAAAATCAGAAAGCAGATGAGATGGTTACTAAATCAATGTTTCAAACACGTAGAATGAAAAATGTGAGTACTTTTTTCCCTCTATTTAATTATTTAAGTGTATAAATATTTGGCATTTTATCTGAGAAAGAGCAAAGATTCAGCTTGGCTCAAATGTTATCCAGACAAATCTGACTAGCCACAAGAAATTACTCATCAGAACGTGGGGGATGCAGATGAGTGGCAGACTGCTTATCATGAGAATTAACCGAGGCAGGTGAACTTGTACTCTTGGGGTCTCATGTTCTTTTGCACCTCTCACATTTATCATTGGACATACTTTGCAATTCATGAGTAGAGATGCTCACTCTGATGTGTCAGCGAGAAAATATTCTGGTGAAAAGCCAGAATATGCTTGTCTTTCTATGAAACTGGCATAAAGAGAAATAAATTCTGCAGCTTATCTTGGCACGAGAGCCATCAGCTTTCCTGGCAAGAAATTCCTACCAATGAATTGCAGCCTCAGTCTCATACATCTTATCTTCTGGGAGTCTAGCATGGCATGAGGATGGTTCCCATCCAAATCCAGCACCAACTGCATATTTTCTCCCAGAATGTTTGGAAAGAGCCATAATCACCTAAATACTATTCATCCTTCTGTGGTCTCATTTTCCTAAAAGCAATATATACCTTAATTTTAAAATTACAGTGAGTGATGTGCTGTAGATTTTTCTGAACCACTAGATCTAACCCTATGCTATCCAGAAAAGAAGGAGAAAAAAAAAAAGAAAAAATTAATGTCATGTGTTTCAAAAGTCTGAAGGCTGCATTACAGTTTCAGCTTAGTAATTACAAGGATTTATGTTCCATTCTGCCCCAAATCCAGAGCTCATTGTCCATTCAACTTGCACCGCTTTGACTTACAGTTTTCTGCATCCATTATCTTTAATAATAGAGAGCTGACTAAAGTTAATGATTGAAGAGCAAGATGTGATTAATAATACTAATCTAATTTATGAGAAAACAAACTGGAGTATAATTTTCATGTTTCATTAAAATTATCTTAAATGTACTCCTTAATGCTAATTGATCTCACAGAGGTGAGAAAATATTCTGTTCCAAATTAATGGGAGAAAATCATTCATCTTCTTTCTGGAGGGAACATTTAATATCATTCAGTATTTAGAGGAAGACAGCATCTCCACAGTTATTTCACCACTTACAGTGATGCTTCAATGTAGGCACATATCTGAAATCTACAAGATTTCCCACTGAATAGGGAAAAAATTCAACAGAATAAATACACAACAAAATACCATATAAAATGTTTTCTTTTCACAAAAGGTCTTTCCTATCTTAGCAAAATTACCCAAAGCTGAAGAACAGTGCTGGTGAACAAAAATTGAGCAGGCTTTTTCCATAAGTTTATCAAAGAAAAACTCGTTTATAATTCCGTTAATTTGCTATGAACAGGAGATCACAGAAACATTTGCAAGATAAAGTTCCTTGCAGGATTTATTGAAAACAAAACCAAGCAGAAATCTATTCTTCCACTGAGTTTTCCACTTTTGTTTGTATTTCAATATTTTTTTCCCTTTTGAATTATTCATATTTGGATATCAAATATTCTTACAAACCAACACATTTAAGAATAATGAGTCTTGACTGGCTTCATTTTAACTTGTTTTGCTTTATGCCCAGGATTATTATTAAATGACCTTCTATTCAGTCTGTTTCTATGATCTATAAATAGAAATTGCCTAATGAGCATCTCAAATATTCCACTGTCATTTTCATGTCAGTTTTTCTTATCCTATGTTTGTATAGCTCTGATGACAATACCTATTAATACATAGCAACAGCTCTTTGCCTCCTTCCTCTCAAATCCCTTCCATGATTACAATCATCTTCTCTATCTGGGCTGGAATCTTGTATCTTTACACTGTTTGAGAAATACAAAGTGGCCCTAATACCAACTGAAATAGCAACTTGAGAATTTCAAGAGCTGCTTTATGAGAAATACTACAACAGTAGCAATAATTATTGAATTTTCCGATGAAAGAAAAAGAAATTCCTTTCGCATTGTTCTTGTATTCTACTTGAACAGGATTTACATATTTGGTCTGCAAAGCAGCAGGGACAAATACACTCTCCAGTGTACTAAATCCATTTATACCCATACCAAAGAATGAAGGCAGAGAAGAATAAAGGAAGAGATGCAGAGTTTCTGACACTACCTACAGTGATATATATATTATGGAGAAAATAATGCACATTCCATGAGAAATCAGCAGTGAGTTCTGGGGCCGGAGGGGATATGAACTCTTCTAGAGGAAGAATAAATTTATTAGACTTCTATGCAGCTTGTGTTTCTCCTATGGCATTTTCCCTCATTTCCTTTGTATGTAATTTAAAGCACATGCCAGTACTTACAAAAGAAGGCTGAGAAAACTGACCTTCAGCTGCTTTATCTATTGAACTGACAGAGCACAGTGTGCAGCAATGCAGTCTTCCAGATTCAGACCATCAGTTGCTAAAACCACCACCACCTAATTAGGTCTACCTGCTCAGTAAGTGATTTCGGTGCATGTCCATTTGTTGCTCTCTGAGGACTCAGTCATTTCAGATACCAAGGAAATGTTGTATGGTGATAATTTTGGCCAGAAGATAATAGCTGTGCTGGTGAATATTCTATTGCCACATCACCCTTACTTTCCATTTCGATTTTGCAAGGCTTTCATTTTTCTCATACCATACATGCCAACACTTTGCTTGAATTTAAGAAAGACCAAGAAAAAGACTGCTTACCATTCTGGCATCCCAGAGAGATAAAGTCTTGTCGGCGGAGCTAGTGAGAACAGTGTTGGAGAACAGAAGAAACTCAATGCTATTGACTGAATCTTTGTGGCCGCACGTCGTATATCTGCATCTGCACTGCAAAAGAAAATAACAGAAATACAACACTTCCCATTCAGGAAAATAAGAACAAAAGACAAGTTTAGGTAAATTAGTAACACATTTCATGTATCTTTCCCTGCTAGTCTTTAGAAAAAATGGATATTGACAACTATTCATGACCCAAGCACTATACTACAGAGAAAACAAAAAAAACCCAAACCGGTTAGTGTTTGCTTCCCAGTAATGAAGACTATAGTGGGAAGGTACAAAGAAATGGAGAAGTGGGTTTTAAAAGACTGAATTGTAAGGAGCAACAATGAAAGCACCACTTTGTGTTTCCTGGGTGCATCCTCAAAAACCTTGTTGAGGTAGAATTTAAAAGGAACATGGATGAAAAGGTAGGATAGGGACAGCACCGTTTCCTTTTTAAAGACACCTTACTCCTCCTTTCTTACAAAGGGTCTAAGAAATCTATAGCACCATGCCAACATGGACCTTCAAGAAAGCCAGAGAGTGCTGGCAGCCTGACATTCTTCTCAAGGTCTGCAGAATGACTTATAGAAACTAACTGATGTCTGGGAGTTCTTCACTGAGGGTAAAGTCTTGTCACTGTGGACACCCAAGGGGCCTTTTCCCTGAAGAAGAGGTCTCTTACTATGGGTGAGCCCCCAGCCATTATAAGCTGTAAATTCTTAAAGTAGATGTGAGGAAACAGACGTGAACCCCAAGCATTGAAGTCTTTACCATGAACTGACCACAGGTCAGATGGAATTACTCTATGGCATGGTTCTGGAAGTTCTTTCAATGCTGTAGACTTCCAGCTATCCCCCTCTTCTCCCAACTGATCAGCTATGAACTAATACCCTAGAGTTTTGTTTTCTTATCTTTTAATGAGTTAATTTCTGAGACAATGCTATTGATCCTTCTCAGTTCAGGGTATGAATCTGATACAGATGGAACACAAGATGGAAGCTTTTCCCATTGTAAGGAACAGAGACACAACCACTATGACACTGCTGTAGAGAATCAGTACTCTAACAGAACAGCCTGAAGTTGGCTATGTAGCTATGATCTTATAAAAGCTTTTTAGCTTTTGTTTTGTTTTCTGCATGCACACCAGAGAAGAACGTTCCTTAAACTGGAGTCTAGGAGAAGAGAAGGAAGAGCCCACTACCACACAGAAGGTAACAAACAAATCTGGCATTATTCAAACTGAACAGAATGGCGAAGTTTAACTCCTACAGAAGCATGTCAAGAGGGGGAGACAATTGAAATGAACGAGCATTCACCACTCATTAAGGCTATATGCAAAAGTCACCCATGCTGATATCAGTTTCAGTCTGTGATTTCTTTAGATGTATGTGAAACTTCATGAATTTGCAGTGTTTGTATTTTTATATCCTGTGAGAACATTCAGGCAGGCGAGCATACTATCCAAAAACCTAATCAATGTGAAGTCAGTAGCAGCACTAGACTCTTTGTTCAGCTGAGTCAAAAATAGTGTGAAAAAATAAAAGCCAACAACTCATCATAAATTATTGCAGCTTTCAGTGACAGCTCAGAATTTTATTCCCTGCTCATGTGATTCTGACAGTAGAAACACACCTCCCCTGAGCTGGCTGCTGAATATATCATTGGGGCTTGCAAATTAGATTACCGGGTGGCTCTTAACTGAGAAATTTCTTACAATATTTATTAAGGAAGCTGTCAGCAGAGGGAATTAAAGATGTGATTTTTTTTTTCTTTCTTTTCTTCCTGCCTGTATGTCACCAGAAGACTCTCGGAGCTCTTGCAGGTTTTGTATCAACAGCGCAGATCAGTATCTGCAGATCAGATAGAGGCCAGTAGAGCCAAAGGGTTTTGATGGACACTACCCCTGATCACTGATCTAACAAAGTGACTTCTCAGATGTATTTTAATGCTTTTCCATTTCCCGGATTGAAATGCATATGCTGCGCTGAGCTGAACACCAAGCCTGTCCCTACAGGAGGGATAGTAGAAGGGAGATAAGTTGTTTCTGAGTAGAAATATTATCCAGGAAATATATTTCAAAGGATTATTACATTCCACTGGTATCATTTTACAGAATCTATGTTTTTTCTATTATAGATAATACATTATACTATTCAGTACTATCTGTTATATAGACTACATGTGTTATTTTATCACAAGGACTCATTTTAAACTAGTCATAAAGTATTGTGGCTGTTAGAGCTCGGAGCACAAGATATCTGATATTCATGATCACTTGATATATGACAATAAAGTAACTTCACTAAAATAATTTTTTGTTTCATAGTCTCATGATAATGTTTTACACCACAGAACAGGCCTTTTTCATCTCAGATCATGTACTTTTATTTGTGTGTAGGTATGCCATTTTTAAAAAGTGACCAACGATTTCCTGCTTGTGTGTTACACTGTAAGGACTTTGAGTTGGTGAACAGTTTCTGACAAGCAAAATTTTGCTCTGTATTTTTGTGGACACTTCTTAGTTTTGAAAACATAGACCACTTGACATACCAGAGTGTGACAGTGTTCCACTAGAAGAAAAGGGGATATTTTCCTAAATCACAGGATGGATGTATGTCCTTTTCAAAGGCAGGGGGAGAACAACATCTTCAACCTGCTTGAGGGGGCTTGGGGTGAAAGAACACAGAAAAAGGAAGGAAAGTAAAGGAAAAAAGACTATTTTGTTTATGAGTCACTGACATAAGATATAGACCATCCCAGGCAGACAGGCTGCAAGAACAGGCTTGTGAGAGATTAATTAGGTGCCAAAGCAGGAAGGCCCATTCAGAATCCCTTAGCAAGGTGAAAATGGACTAAAGTGATGGACCATGACAGCAGCAGAAGGGAAGGAAATGATTTGTACTTTTCCATCAAGAACATAAACACCCAGACCTGATGCAGTTGTCTGTCTCTCCCCTTGCCACTTCCATATCATTGCGTACTGATGAGTGAGCTCTGGCTCTCGAGATTTAATTTACCACTCTGGTAACTGACTGACTGATATTTCTAAGAACCTCCAACTGCTACATAAAGTAAACTCATCTTTCCTTCCAGCTGAGATATAATTTTTGCAAGACTGTCTTGTATACAAGCTATCTTTCGGCTGGAAAGGGGAACATTTTATTTAGATGTTCTTTTTCCACAAAAAGAAATGGATAGGAAGGGTAGAGCATCACCCTGTTTTTCATGGGAGCTCATATTTCTATCCAGTTGTTCAAGTTTGTGTACATTAGAATAAATCTGTAGCAACATTCATTCACTAATGTTTTTTTCTCATTATGAACACATAGCCTCATGGATATAATCTTTACCATCTCTGAACATTTTAGTTCAGGACAGAGAGGGAATCATCTATGAATAGCAGGTTAGGCATTTGCAGTAGTCTTGTTGCTTACATCCAGAGACAGAGAAAGAGGTCCTGAATAAATGATGCCATTACAGAAATACTGCTCAGTAGTTCAGTACTTTGCAGATTGCATTCTGAACCTCATCTCAGACACCAGTTTCAACCTTTGTCCTTTACCTGTGTTATTACTACTTTTTCAACGTAAAACATCAGTTAACACATTTTCTTGACTCATGACTAATTATCCTCAGTGTTCTCTTTTTCTCCACAAAGTCAATTTCCCTTCCCTTAAATGCAGGTAAGGTAATGATGTCCATCAATAAGTCAGCCTTTATTCTACCTCACCAGGTTTCGATTTTTCTTAACGCGTTCAAACAAACATGGACAGACTGTTATAGTTACAAGAAGCACACCTATACCATGAATGTTGGCATTTAAATTAATCATACCATTATTGATATCACCAGCTCAACAGTGATGGGAAAACTTTATTTGCTCAATTTTTAGAAACTTCTCTTTTGAGAATCACATTCTAGAACGGTTCGTTCAAATTCAAAAGGGCTTAGTACAACTGCATTGAAAACAGAAGATATGAAACATTTCCACTTACATAAGACCTCTCTGAATATTAACAGGCTGCTGTCTCTACACTTACACACAATAGCAGCCAAATAATGCACTAGTTAATTATTTCATCAACTGTACAATAATTGAAAAGAAAATACAGAATTCTCTTATCCTATATACTTACCCATCTGTACAATCAGAGTTAAAACTCAGTAAGAAAAACAAGCCAGCACGCCCTGACAGGACCTTTTTAAAATTCCCTGGTACATATTTATTGCTAAAGGCTATGCAGGGCACAAAGCATCAGACAATCCGCAGTACTCCACACCAGCTTAGTACTCATTTCCAAAGACATACAGCAAACGAGAGCAACAGGTGAGATTACACGGTGCCAATTCTTTTGCTATTTAAGAACGTTTTAAAAGAAACACCCAACACACAACACATGCTTACTAGCAATCCTATGAAAACAAGCTCTGCTTCCTTTCTTGATTTTTTTTTTTTAAAGCATGTGTTTTCTGTGTTCAGCTCCAGTTGGAAAAATTGGGGGTGGGGGGTGATACCATTTCAATGATTAGTTAGGTAGTCATAGTTACTTATTTTATTGCTATGTCATATTAAATCTCATATCAAGCATGGTAATTAAAAGCACCTATAGGTCCAACTGAAATTAATGAGATTTTACACATGTACTTTTGAGTCAGTGCCTCTACCGAACATCTTTTTACATGGCCACCAAAGGACTACATTAAAGGCACAAACACTCTCAAACTGTGCTATCTTTCCCAACAACTGCTCTCTCAAATCATCCCACAGAAAGAACACTAAACTAAACCCTTTCTCATGTCTATTGAATAACAGTTGTCTTTGTGACCTGCAATCACTAGCAGGTAAAATGTCAAGGTAAATTGCTCTAGAAAGTCACCTGCTACAAAGATGGACACAACATCTCTGAGGAAGTTTTGTAAGGTCACACCACAACTAGCCTCCAATCCTGTTTTAGTGACGTAATTGTAACAGTGCAAAGGAGAATACTTTTAACAAAAACAAGTCCTATCCCTTTCCCATTATATGGCTTTATCTCCCAAATATGTTCAAATTAGGCATAGAA